ATCATCTCAGAAATATAGACAGATACTGAAAGGCCGAAACGTTGTAATAAATATGGTGACAAAGATGAGGATAATAGTCCGAATAATGTAAATAGTGTACATAATACCTCATCTCAAAAATACAGACAGATACTGAAATGCCGAAACGTTGTAATAAATATGGAGACAAAGATGAGGATAATAGTCCGAATAATGTAAATAGTGTACATAATACCTCATCTCAGAAATATAGACAGTTACTGAAAGGCCGAAACGTTGTAATAAATATGGTGACAAAGATGAGGATAATAGTCCGAATAATGTAAATAGTGTACATAATACCTCATCTCAAAAATACAGACAGATACTGAAATGCCGAAACGTTGTAATAAATATGGAGACAAAGATGAGGATAATAGTCCGAATAATGTAAATAGTGTACATAATACCTCATCTCAGAAATATAGACAGATACTGAAAGGCCGAAACGTTGTAATAAATATGGCGACAAAGATGAGGACAATAGTCCGAATAATGTAAATATTGTACACAATACCTCATCTCAGAAATATAGACAGCTCCTACTATTTAACCCATAGCTGGAGGGAGGAGAGGTGGACTCATACCTTTCCTAAAGGTATTTGCGTTTTTAGTGAATATAAGGAACACGACTGGAATTGGAAATCGGAGAACAGATTTCAAATTCTGAGCCGTTATCCTTTAGACCGGCCATACATCCAAGCTTACAGCACCTGATATTTCCAAGCTGTCACCCATATAGGTACTGATCAGGTTCGATATTGCTCAATCGTACAAGAAACGGTGTTTCAACGTGATATGATAAAGATGACGAGAAAGGAAGAAGCCGGGAAAATTTCAAAAGCGAGAAGTGCGAGAGAAGATATATGAAATTGTTCTAAGGAATGTCCTCATTCATAAGACAGTTGATATATCTGGAACACATAATGAGGAAAGGAGGCTTAGAGAATTCGACACTCACAAGACATATTGAAGGCAAGAGGGTCAGAGGAAAACAGCGAGTAACATATTTAATAGGCTTGAGTAAACGGATGGTAGAACAGCGAATGCGATTGATAGTAAGGTGACATACCTTACTTAAATCCATGAAGAATAGAAAGTTGTAGAGGGCCATGATTAAACCACGTTCTGAAGGAACATCGTACATAAAAGAAGAATCATTCATGGCTTAACAAGATGTGTTCAGAAATTAAAAAAAAAACAAAACACTACAGAACATAGATATGCTAGACATTTTTATTACTTCAAACTAGACACTCGAATTTGGAATAGATATTCCATTTTCATTTTAAAAAGCGTCTGTTAGCTCTATCGGTATGCCCAGCCCTGGAAACAGCTGTCCGAGGCCGCATCCTCCCATTGGACCAGAGAGAGAGAAGGGTCGGTACTCGCACCGAGGCCAGTGCAACTGACGATTATATGGGCTGCGGGCATTTTTTGTTCCTAGCCCGGGTGTACGCACTCGGGCTCCCCATATTAAACCTACGTTGAGTCACAACCTGACCTAGTGGAGGTTTGAGTAAATACAAATACAGAAAATGTCCTTTTTCGAATGCGCAGGCCGATCGACATAATACAAAATAATTAAAATAAAATTGGACGTCTATTTCAACTATGAACATCCACTACAATAAGGTTTTAACTAATAAAAATGTGGCATTAAAAGCAAATCTATGAATTCTTAATAAAATGCAGTTTTATCGTCAAAATCTTTATGCTGTTATTAAAATGAAATGCCAAAGGAATTGTTGGTTATTAAATTATATTTTACTTTTATTACTTCAAACATTTTTATAGTAGACACTCGTCTTTGAAATAGATGTTCCATTTTTATTTTAAAATGCGTGTGTTAGCCCTGTCGATATGCGCATTCGAGAAATCTTAAAGAAAATGTCCTTTGTGTGTAAATTGCCCTCTTGAGTACTTTTTAAACATATTATTTATCATTTCTCAGTTGCGTATCTGTTTTTGGGCAGAGCGCGCTCAGGGGCGGCTCCGTCAAAGGACAGAGTCGCAACTGAGGAAAATTATACTGAGAGGTGCCCAGGCTTGGGGAACAGCTGCCCAAGGCAGCCACCTCTCATTAGATCAGAGAGAGGTATTGGTGCTCGGACCGAGGCCAGCGCAACTGACGGTTACGTGAGCCGCGTGCAATTTTTGTTCCTAGCCCGGGTGTACGCGCTCGGGATCCCCACATTAAACTGACCTTGTGTAGGCGTTCGAGTAAATACAAATACAGAAAATGTTCTTTCTCGGCATAATACAAAATAATTAAAATAAAATTGGACGTCTATTTCAACTATTCTGAGCCGTTATCCTTTAGATCGCCCATATACCCAAGCTGTTATTCCCGAGCTGTCACTCATATAGGTACTGACTAAGCTCGACTTTACTTAACTTTTATCATTGTATGTGAACAGGGGTTTCAACGAGATATGGCCGTAAGCCTTTCGCGTATAAAAGATGAAATGGACCTTTGAACATGGGCACAAAAAATAATGTATCTATAAGCTTTATAAGAGCCACACCAGGCCAAGAATGGGGTACTGTTGCCATATTTGGGCGGAGATAGCCTGTCCCCACCTTCCGGTCTTGTTCAGTTCAAAAGCGTCTCTGAATCTTTGTTGGAGAAGAATTATTCCCCATATACCTCTCTCTGTCTCTCTCACGGGCAGGATGTGATAAACCTCTCACTGCTCTATCGCTACTACCGTGGAAAGTGCTCGGACGAACTACATTCCTTGGTTTCGCCAGGTCTAACCTGCAGGGCTAGGACCCGCATTGCTACATACATAGTAGCAATCCATCCACATTCCTTCCGTGTTTCATTGGTGAGAAGTAAGTTCCACTCGAACAGCTTCATCCCACAAACCACTGCTCTGCTGAATTGACTCCCAAGTGGATGCTTCCCCGATCACTACAGTCTTAACATGTCCAAGTTTAGTGTTAACCGTTACCTTCCCCACATATCCATACAAACCGTATCTCTTAGTCTGTAACCCACTAACTCGAGTGTCTCTTGGGCCTTGTACAGGATGAACATCATTTTTTTTTTAAAAAGGGATTATTTACAGGGAATCTTTTGAGTTTAATCTTGTGACTAGATTCGTACAGTCCGAAAAATCTTACTAATGAAATTTGGCCATTAACTACTCTCAATCGAGTCTAAAGGCGTCTCCGAGTCTTTTTGGGTGACAGATTATTTTTCATCTTCCACCCTCTTTCTCTCTCTCTCTCTCTCTCTCTCTCACACACACACACAGGCAAGGATGTAGCGAGCTTCCCAGTGCTCTCTCGCCACTTGCATGGAAAGTGCTCGGAAGAACTAGATTCTTTGGTTCCGCCAGTTCTAATCTTCACGGTTAGGACCCGCCATGCCACTCACATTATAGCAATCCACCCACATTCCCTCTGTGTTCCACTGGCGAGAAGTAAGTTCCACTCGAACAGCTTCATCCTGCGAACCACTGCTCTGCTGAACTGACTCCCAAGTGGATGCTTCCCTGATCACTACAATCTTAATCTGTTTAAGTTTAGAGTTAACCGTTATCTTTCCTATCTGAATAAACTGCCTCTTAATGTACCCCTCTACTTCGAGTGTCCCCCCGGACCTTATACAGGGGAAACCTTAACTGTAAAAAAAAAAAAAGAAAAGAAAAAAAACTACTAAAGACAAGAGAATTGGTGAGAAGTACATTCCACTCAAACAGCTTCATTCCACGTACCATTAATCTGTGGAACCGACTCTCAACATGATGTTTCCCTGATAACTACAATCTTAACCTGTTCAAATCTAGAGTTAACCGTTACTGACCCCTCCCATCCTATATAAACCTCCCCTTAACGTAACTCTTTACCACGTGTGGTACCCGGACCTTGTACACTGTGAACCTTATTATAAAAAAAAAAACAAAAAAAAAAAACAGATTCTTATGAAAATAATTATATAAATAAAAGCGATTGCCAGTAATTTTGAAGTGCGTATACAAGAATATCAGTTAGGCACCTCGAGGTGGTGTAATGGTTAGCAAGCTTGTCTCGCTAGAACTATTACGACTGAGTAGTGACTTCGATCCTCACTGGGTACCCCATACTTTCGGCCTTGTGCCACATCTGAGCTACGCTTGGAAAATCACTACAAGAATATCAGTTTAATCTAAGGGAGCTCCAAGAGTCTTGGAACCCAGTAACTACCTGCTACATCGCAATATCCTTGGTAACTCAAGGGGTTCTACAATCAGGTTTTTTTTTCTGGTGAGCAGAATGGCTAGACGTCGATTGTATTTAATTCTCAAAGAACGGTCTTGTAGGGTCAACGGGATTTAGAACAATAGGATACACTGGGTACATCCGGTGCGTGATGACATGTTCTCACTGAGCAGAGGCTTGACTCGACTGAATTGAAAGATAAAGGCTTCCTTTGATGGAATCAAAGGTCACGTGTTCTTTAACAAGGCATGCATTTAAAGTGTAAATCGATTGCGCCTTGATCTGGAGAGGGATGGACTCCGCTAGGTCTACTTGCTGAAGGTACGCTATGCATGAACGGGTACCCCTCCGACAGATCAGGTGCTCAGCAGTGTAGTCACTCTTCATCCACAGTCGGCCATGGGGCTGATGAGTTTGATCATGGTGATGATGATACCAAAACAATTGTTACTGAAACTGAAGTTTACATCGCATCACAGATTACCGATTGTAATAAAGCATAGAATTTATGAACCGAGAAATGACAAATCTCCGTTCTAAAGTAAAGAAAAGAAAAAATATGAATGAAAGGAAATGACGGCTTTTCACACCAAATCTTTCGCGTAAGGTTTCGTGTCTTCGACGAGATATTTGTAATCCAAAAAGTGATCGTTACCTGATTTGCGTGTTCAGCTGAATGCAAAGAAGTTGTGATCCGCAAAATTCTCTCTCATAACTCGCTAATTTAAACGGATTCCTTCATAAAGATTTTGATATATTAGTTGCTATCAAACAGAAAGCGCTGTTGTTTGTTTTTGGTTGGGAAAATATCGCTTGTGAGACATGATATGTTGAACGGAGTTTAGGCGCGTATGGTGATTGGTTTGCAGAATTCCGTCAAGAGGAGGGTGAAAAAGAATGGAAAAGAAAGGGCTTGGTTGGGGTTGGTGGTTCAGAAAGGCAACTGAAACAATGGATAGCGATAAACAAAAGGCATTATGAAAGGTAAAAAAAAAGAAGGGAAAAGTAGGGAAGAAGAAGAAGAAAAGAAAGTGGAAGAAAGAGACAGATAAACAAAAAGAATAACGAACGGGAAAACATAGAATAAGGAAAAAATGGGGAAAGGAGAAGAAAATAAAGTGGGAGAGAGTGAGAGAGAAAGAGAGAGAGAGAGAGAGAGAGAGAGAGTGGGGAAGAAGAAGAAAAGAATGTGGTAGAAAGAGAGAGATAAGCAAAAGGCATTGCGAACAGAAAGACATAGAGTGGGGAAAAAGAGAGGGGGAAGGGAAGGAAAATAGTGGAAGAAAGAGAGAGAGTGATATACGAAAGGCAATATGAAAGGAAAAAAAGAAGAGAAAAGTGGGGAAGGAGAAGAAAGCGAGAGGGATAGAAAAGGCCTTATAAAAAAAAAAAAAGAGAGGGTAAAGGAGAAAAAATAAAATGGAAGAAAGAGAGAGATGGTCAAAAGGTATTATGAGATGGAGAAAAAATCGGGGAAAGGAGGAGATAAGAAAGTGGAAGAGAGAGAGGAAGAGAAAGAGAGAGAGAGAAACAAAATGTATTATGAAAGAAAAAAAGACAGGTGAAAATGGGGAAAGGAGTAGAAAGAGAGTGGTATAAACGAAAGACATTAGGAAAGGAAGAAAAAGGGGGAATAAAAGGGAGTGGGAGGGGAGAATAGTAAGTAGAAAAGAGAGAGAGATAAACAACAAGCATTAAGAAAGGAAGAAAGAGTGGGAAACAAAGAGAGGGGAAGGGGAGAAAAGACACTGGAAGAAAGAAAGAGTGATAAACAAAAGGCATTAGGAAAGGTAGAAAGGGAAATAAAAAAGAGGAAGGGGGAGAAAAGCAAGTGGATGGGAGGAGGAGGAGTATAAATAGAAAACGGGCGGAAGAGGATGAGAGAAAAATAAAGAGAGTGAATGAGAAAAGTCACACGATACAAAAGCAAGAGGAGGAGGAAGTCTTGTGAAGAAGAAGGCGGAACATAGAGAAGGAGGGTGAGATAAATATATAGAGAAAACAAGGGAGAGTGAAAGAGAAACAAGAGACAGCTTTCTAAGCCAAACACGACACGGAATCAAAAGAGGAGGAGAACAAGAGAAAGAAGCGAAGAAACGTACAGAGAGGGGGAGTGATAAATTTTCAGGCTGCGATGGATAAATTGTCGTTTAACTGACTTAAAAATGAAACTAGAATTCACGTCTCATTTTAACAGACATATTTACCAAAATTACACAAGAGTGAATTTATTCAATAAAATCGCCATTGGCTTCAACCACGGCCTCCAGTCGACCTCGAAATCACCTTACCTCTACTGGTTGGTCGCCGTTTAATTTGGCGAATGCGGCCATAATCCTTGCCTTCAGTTCATCTTTGGTGTTATAAGGAGTTTTGTTCGTCTTTTACGCAACTGTGACCCACACATAATAATCAAGAAGGTTTCAGTCTCAGGAGTTAGGTGGCCTGTTGTAACGGGTGATGTGGTCGCAGAAATTGCCTGACAGCTACGACTTGGTTCTCCTGCTTGTGTGGTATGGTGCAATCCTGTTGTCAGACGTAACGTCTGTCAGTAGCCACCCTCTTAATCCAGAACAGAACTACATCCTCGATGCACTTGATGTAGGCCGCCGTGTTGAGGCTAAGTTCCTCACTAACAAATTCAGGAGTTTCTGTCTATATTTCTGAGATGAGGTATTATGTACATTAGTTACCTTATTCGGACTATTGTCCTCATCTTTGTCGCCATATTTATTACAACGTTTCGGCCGTTGTACGATCCGGCCTTCTTCAGGTGGTTGGAATTTCGAACTGAACCCTTCATTTCGCTCACTGGAATAGACTGTTCTAGTTCCACGTGCCATGTTTAATGGATGTCAGTTATCAGTTATATCCTGTTGATTACCCTCTGAAAGTTATCCACTGCCTTAACCGGGTATTGAACTCACACTCTTTGGGTCCTGTCACTCAAGGACACATGGCACAGTGGATAAAGGCGTTGGTTAGATCCAGTGACAGGACACCAAAGAGTGTGAGTTCAATACCCGGTTAAGGCAGTGGAGAACTTTCAGAGGGAAATTAAAAGGAGCTAACTGATAATTGACAACCATTAGACATGGCACGTGGAACTAGAACAGTCTACCCCAGTGAGTGAAATAAAGGGTTCAGTTCGACATTCCAACCACCTGAAGAAGTCAGGAGCGTACAACGGCTGAAACGTTGTAATAAATATGGCGACAAAGATGAGGACAATAGTCCGAATAATGTAAATAATGTAAATTCGGGAGCTCTTTTCTTATCAGAACGATCAGTGTGAGTTTCCCGAACTGCCATAGCTTCGTAATCACCATTAGCCTCATCCAATACTTTCCGAATCCTCGGCACTATACTCAGATTGACATTCGAACACTCTGAACTGTTCGTATTGGAGCATCCGTTGCGAATGCCAAGAAGTATAGTAGACCGGTTCCAAATGACGGAGTGAATTGCATCACGTAGGATGACCAATTGACCGTACTATACTGTGCAGTCATCATAATAAGAATAAAACACGCATGCGCGAAATTAAAAATATAAAATGGCGACAATTTACTCATTACACATGTATAAAGAAAAATAAAGAGAGTTAAAAAGAAATGAGACACACGATTCGTTTTTTTAGAATGATGTTCCCCCTGTACAAAGCCCAGGAGCCATTCGAGGTAGATGGTTACAGAATAAGAGGCACAGTTTATAGTGATACACTTGACCCTAGACATGAACAGGTTAAATTGTAGTGGTAGGGGAAGCGTCCCCTTGAGTGTTTGTTCCATAAGGCAGCGGTTAGTGGAGAGAAGCTGCGTCAGGCGATCTTATAATGGAAAAGTAGGGAGTAGGAAAAAGCGAAAAGGGGAAAAACAGGGGAAAGAGAGAGAGATAGAGAGAGAGAAATAGGAAAATGAGAACAGTGAAAGGAGGAGAAAGATGAAAGGTGGGGAAAAGTACAGAGAAATAAAGAGAAAGATTAGGAGAATGAAAGATGGTGAAAAAAGAATAGGGAAAAGAGGAGGACAAAAAAAAATAAAGGGGAAAAAGGTGAGTGGAAGAAAGAGTGGAAATAGAAGATAGCCGAAGCAGGAGAAAGTGGAATAATGAAAAGGTGGAAGGAGGGGAAGTGGAAGGAGAAGATAGCGGAAAGAGGAGAAACTGGATGGAGGAGAAAGTGGAAGGAGGAGAAAGTGGAAGGAGGGGAAGTGGAAGGAGGAGATAGCGGAAAGAGGAGAAACTGGATGGAGGAGAAAGTGGAAGGAGGAGAAAGTGGAAGGAGGGGAAGTGGAAGGAGAAGATAGCGGAAAGAAACTGGATGGTGGAAAAGTGGATGGAGGAAAGTGAAGGAGTAGAAAATGGAAGGAGGGGAAGTGGAAGGAGGAAATGAAAAAAGTGGAAGGAGGGAGAAATGGAAGGAGGAGGATAGAAGGAAGAGATAGGGAAAGAGGAGAAACTGAATGGTGGAGAAAGGGAAGGAGGAGAAAGTGGAAGGAGGGGGAAGAAAAGGAAAGAGAAAGTGGAAGGAGGAGAAGAAACTGGATGTAGGAGAGAAAGTGGAAGGAGGAAAGTGGAAGGAGGAAAAGGAAAGAAGAAAGTGGGGAGAAAGGAAGGAGGAGAAGGGAAGGAGATTTCAGAAAGAGGAGAAAGTGGAAGGAGAAAGGGGAAGGAGGAGGAGTAGATTTCAGAAAGAGGAGAAAGTGGAAGGAGGAGGAAAGGAAGGAGAATTTCAGAAAGAGGAGAAAGAAGGAGAAAGTGGAAGGAGGAGAAGTAGAAGGAAGAGAAAGAGGAGAAAGTGGAAGGAGAAAGAAGGAGGAGAAGTAGAAGGAGAAAGAGGAGAAAGTGGAAGGAGAAAGTGGAAGGAGAAAGTGGAGTGATTTCAGAAAGGAGGAAAAGTGGAAGGAGAAAGTGGAAGGAGGAAGGAGAAGGAAAGGAAAATTGGAGAAAAAGTGGAAGAAAAGGGAAAAAAAGAAAGGAGTAGATTTCAGAAAAGGAGGAGAAAGGGAAGGAGAAAGTGGAAGGAGGAGAAGTAGAAGGAGTAGATTTCAGAAAGAGGAGAAAGTGGAAGGATAAAGTGGAAGGAGGAGAAGTAGAAGGAGTAGATTTCAGAAAGAGGAGAAAGTGGAAGGAGAAAGTGGAAGGAGGAGAAGTAGAAGGAGTAGATTTCAGGAGGAGAAAGTGGAAGGAAAGGAGGAGAAGTAGAAGGAGTAGATTTCAGAAAGAGGAGAAAGTAGGAGAAAGTTAGAAGGAGTAGATTTCAGAAAGAGGAGAAAGTGGAAGGAGAAAGTGGAAGGAGAAAGTGGAAGGAGAAGTAGAAGGAGTAGATTTCAGAAAGAGGAGAAAGGGAAGGAAAGTGGAAGGAGGAGAAGTAGAAAGGAGTGATTTCAGAAAGGAAAGAAGGAGTGGAAGGAAGGAGAAGAAGGAGTAGATTTCAGAAAGGAGAAGAGGAAGAAAGGGAAGGAGAAGTAGAAGGAGTAGATTTCAGAAAGAGGAAGTGGAAGGAGAAAGTGGAAGGAGGAGAAGTAGAAGGAGAGATTTCAGAAAGAAGGAAGAAGGAGGAGAAAGAAGAAAGAAGGAGGGAAGGAGGAGGAAGGAGATTTCAGAAAGAGGAGAAAGTGGAAGGAGAAAGTGGAAGGAGGAGAAGTAGAAGGAGTAGATTTCAGAAAGAGGAGAAAGTGGAAGGAGAAAGTGGAAGGAGGAGAAGTAGAAGGAGTAGATTTCAGAAAGAGGAGAAAGTGGAAGGAGAAAGTGGAAGGAGGAGAAGTAGAAGGAGTAGATTTCAGAAAGAGGAGAAAGAAAGTGGAAGGAAAGGGAAGGAGGAGAAGTAGAAGGAGTAGATTTCAGAAAGAGGAGAAAGTGGAAGGAGAAAAGGAAGGAGGAGAAGTAGAAGGAGTAGATTTCAGAAAGAGGAGAAAGTGGAAGGATAAAGTAGGGAGTAATTCAGGAGGAGAAAGTGGAAGGAAAAAGGAAGGAGGAGAAGTAGATTTCAGAAAGAGGAAGAAAAAGTGAAGGAGAAAGAAAGGGAAGGAGAAAGAGGAAGGAGGAGAAGTAGAAGGAGAGATTTCAGAAAGAGGAGAAAGTGGAAGGAGAAAGGGAAGGAGGAGAAGAAGAAGGAGTAGATTTCAGAAAGAGGAGAAAGGAAGAAGGAGGAAGTAGAAGGAGTAGATTTCAGAAAGAGGAGAAAGTGGAAGGAGGAAGAAGGAGAAGGAGGAGATTTCAGAAAGAGGAGAAAGTGGAAGGAGAAAGTGGAAGGAGGAGAAGTAGAAGGAGTAGATTTCAGAAAGAGGAGAAAGTGGAAGGAGAAAGTGGAAGGAGGAGAAGTAGAAGGAGTAGATTTCAGAAAGAGGAGAAAGTGGAAGGAAAAAAGGGGAAGGAGGAGAAGTAGAAGGAGTAGATTTCAGAAAGAGGAGAAAGTGGAAGGAGAAAGTGGAAGGAGGAGAAGTAGAAGGAGAAAGATTTCAGAAAAGAAGGAGAAAGGAGAAAGGGAAGGAGTAGAAGGAGTAGATTTCAGAAAGGGAGAAAAGTGGAAGGAGGAGAAGTAGAAGGAGTAGATTTCAGAAAGAGGAGAAAGTGGAAGGAGAGAAGTAGAAGGGAGAGAAGGAGGAAGGAGAAAGTGGAAGAAGAAGTAGAAGGAGTAGATTTCAGAAAGAGGAGAAAGTGGAAGGAGAAAGTGGAAGGAGGAGGAGTAGATTTCAGAAAGAGGAGAAAGTGGAAGGAGAAAGTGGAAGGAGGAGAAGTAGAAGGAGTAGATTTCAGAAAGAGGAGAAAGTGGGAGGAGAAAGTGGAAGGAGAAAGAGGAGACAGTGGAAGATGGATAAAATAGACGAAAGAGGTTTATAATTGAATTTAGAAGGATTTACTAAACCTTATGGAGCTATTTACTAAACATAGCTTAGATGTGGCACAAGGCTGAAAGTTTGGAGCAGCCAATGATGACCGAATTCTTTAGTAAGTCGTAATTGGTCTCTCAAGACATCATAGCGAAGTACCTCTTAGTAAATGATTATAGACTCAAATATGGACGGTTAATACTTACCTATCCAGGAACCAAGTAAATTCTTCCAGACACAGGGATATCCTCCTTGGGTTTTCCATATATTCGGCCTTGCACCTCATCTAAGTTACGCTTAGTTAATTACTATAATCATTTAAAAAGAGGCACTCCGACGTGGTGTAATGGTAAGCAAGCTTGTCACACTAGATAAATTATGACTGAGTAGTGAGATCGGTCCTCACTGGGAGATCCATGCTTTTGATCTTGTACCGCGTCTAAGCTACACTCAGTAAATATTTATAATCGTTTACTATGTTCGGGGTTGGTGCAGGTCAGGCCTTATTTGCATGCATTTTTTTCATTGAGTAAATTTAAAGTTGTTTACGCGGCCTTGAGGGCGATGAATTATTTACAACCCTCTAACCAACTTTTGCTACTTCCATCATTAATATTCCTTACGTTTTCATGGGGGAAGAACTATACTCTGGAACAGATTGCCAAGCAGAAGGGTGGGATGCTCCCTCCATCAAGAGAAACTTAACCTCCTCCAAGAATAGGGAAAATCGTTATCTATCCGTAACTTCCTCCGAGGTTTCATTTCTTACTCACTCTTCTTACGTTCATAGTACAAACCATATTCAGTAACACTCTACCATGAGTGACTCTTTGGACTTGTTTTGGGTGAACTT